GCTGTAAGAGACTGGTGCAAATGCTCTCCGAGAAGCACAAAAAGAGGAAAGGTCGTCTTTCGGCAGAAGCAGCGTTCCGGAGTGCTTGGCGACCGGCACAATGAACTACGTGTGCGGGAAGACACCGGTTAGTGTCCGGGCGCTGGAAAGCTCCAGCTTTGATGAGTGCTGCATCAAGTCCTGGGTCAGACGGTCCTGCTGCCCTCAGCCTTACGTCCCGGGGTGTCTTCCGGCAGAGTGCGGTCGTTGCTCGTCCCGTGGCTGCATGGTGGCTTCTGTGCTGCTCCACACACTCAGTCCTGGTGCTGATGGCTTCCTACAGGCCTCCCCACGATCCCAAAGCCCTGGTTGATGTTGCTGGATCAATAACTCTTCATGAGCCGTCAACAGAGCAAGGGTCTCACCGTGGGAAATGGCCCTTTCCCAGTACACCTGAGCTGGGCTTTTGCTCCCGCCTTGGTCCCACACTGATGCCTTAGAATCGGAATGAATTGTGGAGTATCCCAAACTGGAAGGGATCCACAGGGATTAAGTCCAACTCCTGGCCCTGCACAGGACACCCCAGCCATCCCACCGTATGCCTGAAAGCATTGTCCAAACATACCTTGATCTCTGCCAGGGCCCTGCCCTGGGGATCCTGTTTCTGTGCCTTCCTTGCCCGGCTCCAGAGAGTTGGGAAAGGCTGATTCGGGGAAGGGCATCTGGTGTCCATGGGTGGATGAAGCAAGCCCTGTGCTGGCAGGATTGTGCAGGCTCAGAGCCTTAGGCTGCAGCTCAATGTGTAACACAAGCAGGTTTCCACCCTGTGAGGCCTGAAAATGGTCCCACAAGTACAGGACAAAGGAAGGGTGTCACAGAAACCGGCCTGGCTTGGGGCTGAAGGAGCTGCAGGGAATATTCCCTGGGACAACTCAGCTTCCCCTAACCCTCCACAAGTCAACATGGCTCCCGGTGCACCAAGTTCTGCTCCCACATAGACTGTGCCTGGCATTGTTCACTTATTTATTCAATCTCTTGTTGTTTATTTATTTATCCCATTATGTCCTTGTCCCGAACCTGTCAATGAGCGAGTGCTGAGCCCTGACCTGGGTGGGGTGGTGTGCCAGGGGCAGAACATGCTCTGGGCACAGGGGAACCCCCCCACTCCTGCTGGCTGCTCAGGAATCCAGCAGCTGGGAGCTGACTTGCTGTCACCACCGAGCAGGAGTGTGAGGACCAGCTGGGCTGCGGTAACCCGCTGGCATTGCCTTACATGGCTGCATCCCTGGGACACCGCCAGCTGCGAGGCACTGGGCCTGGCACTGGAGCGTGGTGCAGTTCTCCTGGCCTGGGGGGCTGCCAGCAGCACTTCCATTGTGCCAGTGAGCTGATGGCACATCTGTGCTCCCTGTCTCCAACTCTGCAGTGCCAGGTCCCCTCCTGCTCCCAGTCCCAAATGCCACCTTGTGCTCTCCACCCCAGTGTGCTGGTAGCTGATGGAGATCACTGAATCCTGTAACACTCTGAGTTGGAAGGGACCCACAAGGACCACGGAGTCATGCTCCTGGCACAGGACACACCAACAATCCCACCATGTGTCTGAGAGCACTGTCTAAATGCTACTGGAGCTCTGGCAACCTTGGGCCTGTGCTCATTCCCTGGGGAGCCTGTTCAATGCCTGACCACCCTTCAGGGGAAGAACCTTGTCCTAATATCCAACAAGAAGGCACCGTGTCCCTGGCGACCGCAGAGGTCCCTGGCAGTGTCCCTCTGTACTGAGCTGGGGGGCGTGAGAGGACACATAGGGCACCCGCGCTGCCTTCTCACTCTGTGTCCTGCCATAACGCCCAGGAAGCACACGGAGATCCTTCCCAGGTGGAGCCGTTACTGCTCCCCGGGCAGGGGCCGAGCCGGCCCCGCAGCAGCCGGGGGCACCGAGAACCAGTCTGACTGCGCCGGGCGGTTCTGCCGGTTCCCGCCCGCACATGGGATGCTCCGGGAGACGGGTGGAACCGAAACGCCGCGACCTGTTCCCGCGGCGGGGCCGGGCTGCGCGGGGCTTGGAGCTCGTCGCCCCTCGAATACAGACCCAGATGCACGGGGTGAATCTCACAAATCGGCCCGGGGGGCGACCGGGACCTGACAAAACCCCGGGCACCCCTGACCCGTCCCGGCCTACCGCGCTCCGCCCCGTCCGGTGGGCGCAGGGCAGACTGCAGCGCGCTCCGCCCCGCCACGCCCATCGCGGGGACCTCGGAGCGCCGGGGCCGAGCCGAACCGGGCCGAGCCGTGCAGATCCCGGGAGCCGGGCCGAGCCATGCCGTGCGGGGCTCTCCCAGCAGCGGCGCTGGGGCTGCGGGTCCTGGTTCTGAGCTCGGCGCTGGGCGCGGGGGCGGCCCGGGCTCAGCCGCCCCCCTTCCCTTTCTGGGACCCCTCGCTGCCCTGGCACCGCCGCCTTGACGACCTGCTGGGCCGGCTGAGCCCCGCCGAGCTGGTGCTGCAGGTGAGGGGGCGGCGGGACCCCTCGGGGCTCCCGCGGGACTCCCCGCTCAGCGCCGCTGCCCTGCAGGTGGCGAGGGGGGGAGCGATGGGGAACGGCCCCGCGCCCCCCATCCCGCGGTTGGGCATCGCGCCCTACAACTGGAACACGGAGTGTCTGCGGGGTGACGGCGAGGCACCTGGGTGGGCCACGGCTTTCCCGCAGGCCTTGGGGCTTGCTGCCGCTTTCAGGTACCAGCGCCGGTGACCGGGGACCGACGGTGTGGGATGGGACCTTGTGAGACAGGTCCCCCCTGTCTTGCCTAAGCCACCCTGACACCCCTGTGCTGTCCCCACAGCCCTGAGCTCGTCTACCGTGTGGCCAACGCCACGGCCACCGAGGTGAGAGCCAAGCACAACAGCTTTGCTGCTGTTGGCCGCTACAGTGACCACACCGGGCTCAGCTGCTTCAGCCCTGTCCTGAACATCATGAGGCACCCACTGTGGGGGAGGAACCAGGTGCCAGCTTGGGCGGGTGATCCCTGGCTGCGATTGGGCCACAAAGGACTGTGGCTGACCAGCTGGACATGGCCATGGCTTGCCAGGCTGTGGGGATATAGGGACAGGGCTCCCAAAGGTGACCTGCCTGTTCCCTGGACAGGAGACCTATGGGGAGGATCCGTTTCTGAGTGGGGAGCTGGCCCGCAGCTTTGTGCAGGGGCTGCAGGGCCAGCATCCCCGTTATGCCAAGGCCAGCGCTGGCTGCAAACACTTCAGCGTGCACGGAGGCCCTGAGAACATCCCTGTCTCCAGGCTAAGCTTTGATGCCAAGGTGAGTGCAGCAGGGCAGGGGGTGTTAAGAGGGCAGGGGACAGTCCAGATGCTGACCCCACTCTGCCATGGTGCTTTCAGGTGCTGGAGCGGGACTGGCGCATGACCTTCCTGCCCCAGTTCCAGGCATGTGTGCGTGCTGGCTCCTACAGCTTCATGTGCAGCTACAACAGGTGTGGAGAGTGGCAGGAGCCACATCAGCTGGGCCGCCCCTGGCCAGTGCCCCGCGCTCCTGGCTGCCCCATCCCCTCTCCAACAGGATCAATGGCGTTCCTGCTTGTGCCAACAAGAAGCTGCTGACAGACATCCTGCGTGGCGAGTGGGGCTTTGATGGGTACGTGGTGAGCGACGAGGGGGCTGTGGAGCTCATCATGCTAGGGCACCACTACACACACAGCTTCCTGGAGACGGCGGTTGGTGAGCTCACCGGCTGGGCATGGGGTCAGTCCCCAGGCATCGCACAGCCATGACGGGAGTTCTCCCTTCTCCCTGGCGTGGCAGCCTCGGTGAATGCTGGCTGCAACCTGGAGCTCTCCTACGGCTTGAGGAACAACGTCTTCATGCACATCCCTCAGGCTCTGGCCATGGGCAACATCACATTGCAGGTAAGCTGAGGGGAGTGGGTTCAGGGGTGTGGGCAGAGAGCCTGAGCTGTTCCTGCCAAGCACAACTGTGGTGTTTGGGTTGGGGTCTCCATAGATGCTGCGTGACCGAGTCCGGCCCCTCTTTTACACACGGATGCGGCTGGGGGAGTTTGATCCCCCAGCCATGAACCCCTACAACTCCCTGGACCTGAGTGTAGTGCAGAGCCCCGAGCACCGCAACCTCTCGCTGGAAGCTGCTGTCAAGAGCTTTGTGCTGCTGAAGAACATGCGGGGCACACTGCCCCTGCAGGCCCAGGACCTGCCTGGCCAGCACCTTGCGGTGAGCCTCTGCAAGGTGGCGGGCAGGGGAACATGCTGGCTCCACACCCATGGCACACAGGTGTCACAGGTTTTCTGGTGCCCAGCCTCACTTTCTTCCCCCTGCAGGTTGTGGGTCCCTTTGCTGACAATCCCCAGGTGCTCTTTGGGGACTATGCACCAGTGCCAGAGCCTCAGTACATTTACACTCCCCGGTGAGACAGCATAGTCCCACCTCATGTCCTCCTCTCCTGGTCACAGTTCCCCTCTGGATACTGTCCAGGGCTGCTGCTGGAGCTGCTTGGCCCTTGGCTGGTGGCCAGGGCAAGGGGGCTGTCCCCATTGGGCCCCAACCCTGGGGCACAGCTGCCCCTGTGTCCTCTGCTCTTCCCTGGTGCAGGAGGGGGCTGGAGATGCTGGGGGCCAATGTCAGCTTCACAGCGGGCTGCAGCGAGCCACAGTGCCAGCGGTACTCGCGGGCAGAGCTGCTGAGGGTCGTGGGGGCAGCTGACATGGTGCTGGTCTGCCTGGGGACAGGTAGGTGGCAGCAGGAGGGCACTGGGTGGGCACTGCCAGGGCAAGGGGAGTGCTCTGGGAGAGGGGGGATGCCCATGAGCCATCTCTGAGGCAGTCAGTGCCTCTCTGCCCTGTCTGCCCACGGGGGTGTAAGGGGCTCTCCTTTGACTGTCCCCACCCAGGGGTAGATGTGGAGACAGAGGCGAAAGACCGGAGAGACCTGTCCCTGCCGGGACACCAGCTGGAGCTGCTGCAGGATGCTGTGCAGGCAGGTAGGGGCTCTGTGGGACTTCAGCTTGCCCAGGTGTTCCCATCCATGGGACATGCCAGGGGGATCCCAGCAGTGCCACTACAGGGCTCCCAGTGACAGCCATCTCCCTGCAGCTGCTGGCCGCCCTGTCATTCTGCTGCTGTTCAACGCGGGGCCCCTGGACGTGAGCTGGGCACAGGCACATGACGGTGTGGGGGCCATCCTGGCCTGCTTCTTCCCTGCCCAGGCCACTGGCTTGGCCATTGCCAGGGTATTGCTGGGTGAGGCGGGGACAAGCCCGGCTGGCCGGCTGCCAGCCACTTGGCCTGCAGGCATGCACCAGGTAAGGCCAGGGCTGCTGGTCACACCCTTAGCCCTTCCCTGCCTTGGTGGCTGCAACAACTGGGGGATGCAGGGCTGGTTCTTGTCTGTGCCTGCCCAGCTCTGTCCTGTTCCACTGGCCCCTTGTCCCGCAGGTGCCACCAATGGAGAACTACACCATGGAGGGACGGACATACCGGTATTATGGACAGGAGGCCCCACTCTACCCTTTTGGGTATGGGCTGTCCTACACCACCTTCCGCTATCGGGACCTGGTGCTGAGCCCCCCAGTGCTGCCTGTCTGTGCCAACCTCTCTGTGTCTGTGGTGCTGGAGAACACGGGGCTGCGGGACAGCGAGGAGGTGGGCACAGCTGCTGTGTACTGAGCTGGCTGTATGGCGTACAGATGTGCCCGAGCTCCTCCCTGCAGGGGAACTGCTCTGGAGTCCCATCTTGCTGACTCCCGTCCCTCCGTGCAGGTGGTGCAGCTGTACCTGCGCTGGGAGCAGTCATCTGTGCCAGTGCCCCGCTGGCAGCTGGTGGCTTTCCGCCGTGTGGCATTGCTGGCCAGCCGGGAGGCCAAGCTGTCCTTCCAGGTGCTGGCTGAGCAGCGCGCAGTCTGGGCACAGGACTGGCACCTGGAGCCCGGCACCTTCACCCTCTTCGCTGGTGGGCAGCAGCCGGGCCAGAAGACACGGGTGCCCTCGGAGGTGCTGAGTGCACGGTTCAGCGTCACTGGCACGGCCCGACCCTTACGTGCATGTTAGTGGCATGGCCAGGCATGGTGGCCACGGGGTGCTGGCAGAGGGAAGAGATGTGAGGCACCCCGTGTGCTGTGGGCAGCGTGGTGGTTCTCTGCCCTGCAATAAAGTGCTGGTGCTCCTGGCAGCTGTGTGGGGCCTCCCCTCCATCCTCCCGGCACAGCACTGACATTTCCCAGGAGCAGGACCACGCTGCTCTTGTCCTGCTCAGTGCTTTCACCCTCCTCCCATGGCTCATGTCCCACCCCGAGGTGCTGCTGCAGGCCCACATCCTGCCTGTTGTTAAGAATAACATGTTGTTACTGTTACTGTTTGTAAACCCCTTACCTTGTACCCCTGTCCCAGGTTTACTTACCTTGTGCCCCTGTCCCAAATTACTGTACCCCGTGTTTCTTGTTCCTTGTTCAGCCAGGCCCTGCCCCCTCTCCCGAGTTGCTGTACCCTGTGCTTCTTGTTCGTGTTCAGCCAGGCCCTGCCCCCACTGCTCCTAGACTCCCACATGGCAACATTGTATCCCTGCCCCAAGTTGCTGTACCTTGTTCAGTTGGGCCCTGAGGAGGAGGATGACATAAGACTTTTATGCAAACGAGAGAGACCAGAGACTCATGGGACGCACCCAGACTGGAAAAAACCCTGAAACAATGAGCCACACAAAAGGAAAGGAATAAAAGCAGCACCATCGAACAAGGAAGACCGAGAGGAGTCCCCTGACTGCCGTCCAGAGGCCGACATAACCTCGAGGGGACTCGACTGGGATGACACCCTAGACTACGAGGCCAAGAGAATGGGTCTTTGCGGGGACTCCTGTGAGGAAGGCAGGCCCAGCTGTGCCCGAGTGACAAAACTGCATGGATCCTCCTTTTCTGCGGTGTCCAAGTGGGAGCAGTGGCGGTGTGTCCGACCCCTTGGGCCCCCACCCCAGAGCTGTCCTGTTCAGTAAAGGCCTTTCTAAAAAGGAGCTGGTCTCCTGGCCCGTTCATCACACTGTACCCCACACCAACCATGGGGTAGCGGCTGCCCAGGCCTGCGTGTCCTGCGGCCACACGTGCCTGCGCCTCCCACTCTGTATATAGCTGCTGGGCTGCTCCAGTGCATTCCCTGCGCTGAGGGAGCGGGTGACTGGCAGCCTGGGAAGCTTGGAGGGCAAGGGCTGACCCTTCTCCTTCCGAGGAAGGATCTCCTTCCCAGGCAGGATCCAGGGAGTGGGAGGGATGCTGCAGGGAAGGGGGCAGAGATGCTGTATTTGGAGAGACCAGGCTTTGCTCTGGCCCCAGGGACAGATCCAACCCTGCAGCAGCTCGGGGGCTGTAGAACAGCCCTGGGATGTGATTCCGGCAGCAATGCTGGCAGGGAGATGGAGCTGGGCAGGAACTCTTCCGGATGGTGTTGGAAGACTGTGATCTCCTCCAGCCCCGAGGCCGGAGGCCAAGGTGGGAGTGGTGGGGAGTGCATTGGGCTGCCCAGGCCTGACCCCATAACATCAGGACACTAATTACAGATGCGGCTTGGGATAATTACAGAGCAGGTGCGAGCTGTGGCAGGGCAGGGCGCAGCCCGCTGTGGCTCAGCCCATTGCTGGCCCATTTGTCACTGACACCCACGGGGCGTTGTCTTGCAGCAGCCGGGATTTGCCATGGGCTGTTGCGTAGCCCCTTGGCAAGATGCTGGGGTTCTGGTTGCTGCCCTGACATGCTGCCGGTGATGTTGCATCCATCCACCCCAGGACAAGACACAGGGACAGACACTTGTTCCCAGGATCCTGTTGGGTCACTGCCCCACAGCTAGTGGGAATCAGCTGGAGTGTTTTGGGAACAGGGATTCAGATCAGCCCTTGTGGGCACTGTGTCACAGAGCAGCAGGGTGGGAGCAGCCTGGGGTGAGGGGCTGAGGACAGATGTGGGAGCAGATGGAAGCAGGTGGGATGGGATGTACCACACATTACTTTGCTCAGAGGTGCTGGTAGGGTTTGTTTGCTATCCTTGTCCCTGTTTGCTCCCAGACTTGCACAGTGTCAGCTCCTGCTGGCAGGGCTGAGCTGTGGCTGTAGTTATCCTTTGACTTTGGGGTGCTGATCTCTTTGGATCCCTACAATCAATGTCAGGACCAGGTGTTGGGGCCCTGGGGTGTAGCTCCCTACCCAGACTGGCCTGATGAAGCCATGGCATTGTTGCACCCCACGCTGCAGGGCTGAGGAGCACAGGGAGTGCTGGGGCATGCAGCAGCCAGGGCTGGGTGCCGTGCCCATCATGAGCTCATCGGATTTTCCATCAGCTCAGGGAGGGCAGCTGTTCCCAGCACCATGGAAATGGCGGGGCTGGACCCAGGAACCCCAACACAGCGGGGCTCTGCCTGCAGCGGAGTGATCAATCAATCCCTCCTTGTATAAGCCCATTGACTTGCGGGGCATTCACGAGCCCTCTCATGTTGCACTGCTGGAGCATGGCCACAGGCCCTGTACACCCGTGGCTGCCCCTTCCTCACCATGCCCCCTGCTCCAGACTCACCCCACTGTGGGGAGGAGGACCATGGGACATGGCTGGATCCAGTACCAGGCTGTCCTAGAGCCTTGAGATGCTCATCTGCTCCAGGTGATTCTGTGGGACCCACAGGCAAAGAGGCTTTGGAAGCCACCCATAGTCACCCTTGGAAATGTCATGGAATGCCTCCAGTCCCGCTCTGCCAGATTCGTTGTGTGCCATGGAAATATGGGGCTGTGGGGCTGCTGCAGCCCCGTGGAGGATCAGCCATGCAATGGGAGTAGGGTTGTTCCCCTTTCCTGTCCCAGGGCATATCCTGGCTTTGTGAGTTCGCAGGGACACTGCACTCCGTGCCATCCTCCTGAGCTGGGGCTTGGCCATGCAGCATTCCCTGGTGGGGAGTCAGCTGGCAGGTGAGGCTCGGGGAGTTTTGGGAAGCCTTTGCCCTGTCTGAGCAGGGCTGGAAGCTGTAGGAGGGTGATGACTTTAGGGTGATTTGGGGTATAGGGCTACCCCTGCAGCATCATAGAGTGGGGCCACCCTGTCTGCTGAGGAGCTCCCCATCCCTGAGTCAGGGGAATGCACTTCCAAGGGAAAGGGTTGGGATTTCAGTAAACCTGTTTCCCTGGTAGGTGAGGGAGAATGAGTGGCAGCGGATCTCTTGGCCTGCGGTGACATCATCCCCAAAACAGGCATCTCTGATGGGTGCTGCCCGCAGAAAACTCACTTTGTTCATCCACATACCCAGAGCGGAGCACTCTGCGGGGTGCCTGAAGCAGTCTGGTCACGTGGTGGACAAGGACATGTCCCTGCCTCTTGGTGCCCCTGCAGAGCCTGGAGCCGTGTTCCTCCCACTGCTGGTGCTGCCCGCTTGTCCCCTACCCTGGCCGTGCAGCTACATTCCCGTCCAAGCAGGGTCGAAAGGGATTTCAGCGTAGAGCGGGGCCCGCTGCTCCTGCCCCGGGAGCGGCCCCCGTTGTCTGCCGGTTACCGGGCAGGGTGGGGTGCGGGGGGGAGCCCCGCGAGCGGGGGCGGCTGTTGGCGGTGACTAAGGCTCACGTGTGACGGGGAGCGGGGCAGCAGCAGCTCCGAGGCCTCTCGAACAGCTGAGGTGGGGCTCGGAAACGGGAAATCGGTGTCTTTTTGGGGTGCCTGAGGCTGGAGCAGCTGGAACGGGTGGCGCTGGCTGTGCATCGCAGTGCTGCTTGGGGAGGGGCGTTTGCTGCGGGGCCAGCGCTACCGGCGTGACCGGAGCATCGTAAAATGTGTTTGCGAGTCCCAAAATCTGGGAGAGCAGGGGCTGGAGCCGGGCGAATGGCCGAGCAAAGCTGGGGGATGCTGAGCACGGCAGGGGCAGGCCCGAGGCAGGGGTGAGGGGCGCGGGGTCCCAGCCACGGACGCGGCAGGAGCGGCGCAGGCTCGGGACTGCGGGGCCGCGTCTGGAGCCGGGGCGAGGCGGAGCATCCCCCGGCCGCTCCCCCCGGCCGGGGCCGCGGGGCCGGGGCGGGGAGCGCTGAGCGTCCTCCCCCGCGGGCCGAGGGGAGCGGGGCTGGGCCAGCCCCTGCGCCTGCCGCGCCATGGAGCGGAGCTGCGCCGGGCGGGAGCCGCAGCCCCGGCCCCAGTCCCAGCCCTTCGGTAAGGATCCGCGGCGGCACTGGTGCCGGTACCGGCTCCGGGGGGCGCCCGGCCCCCCTCCCGCACCGCGGGGCCGCAGGGAGTCCGGGTGCGGGATGCGGCCCGGGGGTGCGGGGTCTGCCGGGGCTGCGGGATGCGGCCCGCCGTGCCGGCGGAGATGCGGCGGCCGGGTCCACTGAATGCGGCGGTGCGGAGAGGGGCGGCGGCCCAGGAAGGCGGTGGAGAAGCCGGGGGGGCGAGGGGGGGTAATGCGCTGCCGGGGCCGGGGCGGCTTCCCGAGAGGGACAAAGCCCAGGCACGGCTCTTCCATCTTGGGGAGGGCCGGAACGTCCCCGGCCCCGCCGGCGGCGGGGGTGCAAGGGGACTGTCCTTGGGGAGCCCCGGGGGTGGCGGCGCCGGCGCCGCCCCGGCTCGTCCCCGCCGGCCGGTGGGCGATGTCCCCCGTGGGAGGCACACGGTGCCCCCCGCCCGCCCGGGGCCGGCCCTGCCCCGCCGCGTGGACTCGCGGCTAGTCCCAGCAGGGCCGATCCCGTTGCCCCGGGATGAACCAGGGAGGGCGGTGGTGGCGACGAGGCCGCTCTCGGGGCCGGGGCTGGCGCTGCCTCTCGGCACTTCAGCGCAGCGCTCGCTGTGACTAAGCAGAGCTCCGCGGCGGGGCCGCTTCCCACCGCGGGAGGAAGAGGAGAGGCGGCTCCCCTCCCCCTCGGCCCCAGTGCTCCGTCGCCCCGGCCCGCGGAGGAGGAGGGATGGCTGCGGCTCCCGGCGATGTTGAAAACCGGCGGCTCCTGCACCAGGCGGCCGCGGGTCCTGGCATCGCTGCCGGAACGACGCGTCCTGCGCCAGACATGTTGTCTGAGTCCCGCTCTTTGCCTCTGCCGCCTTCCTGCCTGCCGTGGCCTGCCCGCTCGATGCTGTCGCTGCCCGGGAACCGGGGCTGGCTGCTCCCGGCCACCTTGGGCTCTCCGCACACCCGGATGGGTCACTCTGACTGCTCTGCTGTTTGCACAGAATGGTGCTGAAGAAGCACGGGTGGTTTTGCACCATGTCCTCCTTCGGGGACCATCCCTGACATGTCCCACGTGTGTGACCTGCATGACTGGGCAGCCCGGGCTGCTTCCTGTCTTGCTGCCTAGAACAGGTGTCGGGGTCGGAGACACCAGCAGGGACGAGATTTCACTCAAGGGACCCACCATGTGTGTGGCAGCCAGTGGCACTGGAGGCCAGAAACTCGTGAAGGACAGCCAGGGCAGGGTGACCTGCGGAGCTGCCCAGGTGGGCAGAGGGATGCAGTGGACAGAGGGACGAGGAACTAAGCAGGCAGAGGAGCACACAGAGGTCTGTCCTTATCCAAGTTTCCCCCAGCTTCTCCAGCCTTTCTCCCTTGTCAGGGCAGAGAGGGAGGGTGAGCTGGTTGCCTGCCAGTGCCTGTGTTTGGGAGCAGCAGCTCGGGAGTTCTCCCAGTGCGGGAGCCGTCAGAGCAACATGATGCGACGTGCAGAGTGGTGATGTGACAGTCCCGTGGTGCTATGTCCAGAATAGTTAGCACAGCTCTAGCTCCTTGGAGGGCTCTGAGCAGGGTCAGGCAGCCCCACAGGCAGCCTCCCGGGAGTGGAGCTGGATCCTGCACAACACCAGCCCTGGCAGGTGCCACCTCTGTGTTGTGAGGCACAGGACCTGTTTTTTGGGGGTACTGACCTGCTCCCCAAGGGGCTAGATGCTGGCAGGCGCACAGCCCCATGCTCTGCCTTCCAGCCAGGTTTCTGTTTCCCAGCGTGATGCTAGCAGACAGGTTTTTGGGAGCGTG